AGAGGTGGCAGTCTGTAAAAAAAAACAAAACGAAAAAAATCTTGGAAAATAAATTAATTTTATTTCGTAGAAACCATTAAACCCTTAGGTGGGAGGTTGCCGAGGCGCCCCTATAGGATGTGGGGTAAAGAAATTGGAAGTCTCTTAATTTCAGCCAACATATAGGTTATTGTTGTGTGGTATAGTGTATATAAAAAGTAGGTTTTTAGATTTTTTAAAATATTATATAATATTTAATTATTATTTTTTTTTTATTTTTTTTTTATTTTTCTATAGCTTAGATAATATGAAAATATGAGCACCTAAAAATAGGTTAATGAATTTTTAGATTTTTCATTTTTTTTTATATAAATTATGTGCAGGCTCGCGTTAATACACATGTTTTTCGTTTTTTTTTTTAAAAAATATTTATTTTTTTTAAATTATTATTTTTTTTTTTTAAAATTTTCATTATCAAACGAACCAATAGTATCAAAAATGATTTTGTACTTAAAATAACCACAATTGAGTTTTAGAATCTATATCTTCGTAAAACTAATTTTAAAAAAAAAAAACAAAATTTTTTATTTTCTATTGTATTATTAAAACTCTTTATGGTTTGAAGGTGTCTAAACCTTTTTTCTCTCATTTATTTAAAATAATAAGAAAATCAAAATAAAAACCATCAATTTTCTTAATTTGATCGAGTGTTTGGTTTTTTTAAAGCCTTTAATTATGATTATTTTATTTGATTAATAAACAAAATTATTATTAATTACAAGTTTGTGAGTGCTTCAAGTTGAGGCAAATAAAATTACCTCATCATCACAAATTATTCCAAACTTTGTATTTAAAGAGACGATTTATCCACCAAAAAATTTTAAAAAAAAAAAATCATCGTTTTTTTAAAAAAATTAATTATTTTTTTTTATTTTATTTTTTATAAAAATAAATGAAAAGTTTAGAATTTTACAACTGGTGGTTAAATGTAAACTTACACAGCACCAATCTCTTAAGAGAACAAGATTTAAAATGTAAGATACTCGCGAATGAAAAAAAAAATTTATTGGTTGACTATAGTGACAGTGATGATGATGATGAAAATGAATGTTCTCAGAAAATTAAAAACGAACAAAATACACTAGGTTTTAAAGATGAACCAAAGAATGAAATTATTTCAAATAAAATTTTAATTAATATTATAGAATTAGAATCAAAAGATTATGGATTGTTTATATGGGATTCCAGTATTGTATTATCATGGTATTTATATAGTCGCTGTTTTATAAAAGGTTATAATAAAAATTATTGGAATGATAAAATATGCTTAGAAATTAGCGCAGGCGTTTCTTTACCATCAATTTTATTATGTAAATTGGGTGGTAAAGTTTTAATAACTGATAGGTCAAATAATTTCGATCAAATAAAATTAAATATTTTAAATAATTTAATATTAAATAAAATAATAATTAATAATAATAATAATAATAATAATAATAATAATAATAATAATAATAATAATGGTTTTACAAAATATGATAATATTAGAAATTGCCCAGTAATTAAAGATTTATCGTGGGGAAATTTTAATAATATACAAAATGATAAAAATTTTAGTTTTATTGATTATATAGTTATTTCAGATTGTTTTTATGATAATACAAAAGGTAAATTTAAAAAAAAAAAAAAAAAAAAAAAAATTGGGTTTATTAATTTTTATTTTTAATTTTAGATTATGATGATATATTTTCAACTTTTTTTTATTTTTTGATGAAAAATAAAAAATTAAAAATTCTTATTTCATATCAAGTTAGATGGTAATTATTATTATTTATAGTTTTTATTTTATTATTTAAATATTTCATATTATTAATTATTTATTTTTATTTATTTTAAAAGTAATGAAAAGACAATCTCAAGTTACTTATCTAAATGGAGGTTTAAATGTAAAATAATAGATTTAAAAGAGGTAGTTCCTTATCAAGATATATCAACAGAAATTATTTTATTGAAATTATCACTTTAAAAAGAAATAAAAAAAAATTATTATAAAAAAAAAAATAAAATTAAAAAAAAAAATAAAATTTTTTTGATTTTTTTTTTTAAATTTTTATTAAAATAATATTGTGTTGTTTATTATTCATTGTAAATTATAATATTATATCCGTTTATTTATATATTCAAAGATGATTATTGAATTAGATGCATCACACAAACAAGACTTAGTTCTTCTTAAAGCTATATCAATTGAAGGTAAAATTTTTTGTTTATCATTAATTTATCATCTATTTACTAATTTTTATTTATTATTAATAATAATAATAAAAAACATCAAAAATATTGTCAACAATTACAATTACAATAACAATAACAATAACAACAACAACAACAAAAAACATTATCCAATAATAATTATTATAATAATGATAATGATAATCAATAACAATCCTAATACTTGCCAATATTAATGAATAATCACCATTTATTATTATTATAACTTTTCTAATTTCGAATACTATTAATTATTGTAATAATTGATTATTTTAATAATAATAATTATAATTTATAAAATAAAATAAATAATTTAGTTGTAAACGAATTTTGTAAAATTGCAATAGAGTTTATTAAAAAAGGTTCAAATAAAAAATTATATATTGGTGCTTCACGTATGTATAATGGTTATATAGTATCAAGGTTAAAAAAATATTTATAATTAAATTATATATTATAGAAAAATTAAATATACCAGTTGATAAAATCGAAAGTTTAGTAGATTCAATTTCACATTTATTTTCAGAATGCTCAAGATTTATGTTAAACGAAAATGATTTTAATGATACTCTAGCACCAATAAAATTAGAAGAAGATATTGTAAATCATTTAAGAGAATGTTATTTCGAGAATAGAAAAGATATTAGAGTTTCACTTCAAGAATTTTACCCAAATTTAGACCATTATCAAAGTTTAGAATGGAGATTAGATACACAAATTGCAAATCGTAGTTTAGGCCAAACTATTAACCCAATTTATATGTTAAAACTTTTAACCAAATCTGGTGCAGATCAACCTTCAACTGAACATTTACTTCAAACAGACCCAAATAATTTAAAGCATCTTTGTAATGAGTTAGAATCAGCATTAAATGAAATTAGATCTTACGAAAATAGAATTATAATGAGAAATATTAAATAAATAAATAATAAAAAACTTTTTTTAATTTAAATCAAATTATTCATTACCTTTTTTTTTTTTTTTTTTTTTCCTTTGAAATCCCAATCTTTTTTTTTTATATTTTATAAATTCAATAAGTTTTAAATTAAAATTTTTTTAAAATAAAATCTTTAAACATTTTTGGGGGATAGTATTCAAAAAAGAAAAAAAGGTTGATAAGTGATAAAAATCGATTTTTATTTGAAAAAAATTTATCAGTTTTATTTTAATTTTTTTAATTTTTTTTTTTTTAAATGATTTTTTTTTTTTTCTAATCAATTTTTTTTTTTTTTTTTTTTTTTTTACAATCTAATTAATTTAAAATGGGTCAAAATAGTTCAAAATTATCAAAAAGTGATATCGATTTCATCGCACAATCAACCAATTTTTCAAAAAATGAAGTAGAAACACTCTATCAAGATTTCAAAAAGAATGATAAGGATGGTAATGGTTCATTTGATAGAAAAGAGTTTGTTACTTTTTTCAAATCAAAATTAACAAACTATCCAGAAGATCAATTGTACAAATTATTCGATGCTTTCGATACTGATAAGAGTGGTAGTATTGACTTTAAAGAGTTATCTACTGCTTTGTCTGTTATCAGCAAAGGTTCCGCCGAAGAAAAATTAGCTGTTCTTTTTGACATTTACGATGAAGATAAATCTAATACTCTCGAGGCTAAAGAAGTTACCAAAATGATCAACCTTATGGTTAGTATTGGTGTTAGCATTGGTAGACCAGAAAGTGATGTTAAAATTTTTATTGTTAAATTAATTGAAAAAATCGATGCTGATAAGTCCCAATCAATCAGCAGAGAAGAATGGATCAAAGAGGGTTCAAAAAGTCCATCATTATTAACTCTTTTGGGTATTTAAAATAAAAAAATAAACTTGTATAACATGTAATTTTCTATAATTATTTTTTATTTTTTTATTTTTTTTTTTTATATTACAATAAAATTTATTTGTTTATTAAATATTTGAATTAATATTTTAAATGTATTTAATATTGAAAATTAAAAGATGGTTTTGAATCTCCTACCATTGTAAAATTAAAAGTCATTACATTATTAAATTCGAAACTATATAGTCCCGGAGCAATTGTATTAAAACCATTAATTCCTTTTGATGATTCTTTTAAATTAAAATCAGTAGTAACATTGAATTGTTGATATTCAAATTCATAGTTTATTAACTTGTATGATTTGTCTGTATATAAAATTCCATCTTCATAATAACTATTACTTTCAATTTGTTGATAAATTATCCTTGGGCATGCAAATTTAGAATTATATTTACAAATAAGAGAGGGGCATGTTATATTTGAATTTAAAAATTTGCATGCTTTAAATTCTATATCTTCATCTTTGGTATTGCTACATTCAAATTCAAATAAAAAATCTTGATTTTCAAAAGTTTTACAACCATACATCATTTTATTATTAATATACCTTGAAACTACACCAATACCATATCTTTTATGTTCTAGAATTAAATCATTAGGTTTTGCAATTAACATATGAACATATTCTAACATTCCAACCTTATTATTAATTAGGCAAATTGCAGGGTTTGAAATAGATGCTATTGTTTCATTAAACATTTTATCTCTACAATAGCTGTTACCTTCTTCACCTATTGACCAGCTTAAAGATATATTTACATTCTTTCTATTTATTGAGCCAGGGTAACTGAACATTACTTGGGTGGGTTTATTTGAAAGTGGTCTTAAATTATAAACATAACCTTGTTCCCTATCTGTAAATAATAGTTTTTTATTATCATAGTTTTCAAAACCATATATAATATTTAAATATATAATAATAATTATTATTAAAAAATATTTAAACATATTTTATATATTTGCTTTAATAATTATAAAAATTAATATAATTTTCTATTTATAAATATTTTTTATTTTTTTTGATTAAAAATACAATAGCTTTATTTTTAAACAAAAAAATAAATAAAAAAATAAATATGGCTTAAATAATAGATTGTATGCCTAGATCTTTAAATAAATAATAAAAAAAAAAAAATTATTTTAAAATATAAATCGTTTTTTTACTTTGTATAATATAAAAAAATGGGGTTTTATAAAATATTTAATTTTAAAAGATTGGTGGGTAAGAATACTAATTAAATAAATGTACATGTTAATTTTTTATAAAAATTATTCTTTTTGATTTATTTATTATTTTATGATTGTTATTAACTTTTTATATGGTTATGATTTAGATTTATTTTATGATTGATCGAAAAATAAAATAAGAGTATTGTTATTATTTTATTTATATTTTTATTTATTAAAACAATCTATATAGCCTATAAAATAAAAATAAAATAAAAATAAAATCTTTATATTTTAAATGGTTTTAGGTAAAAAAGAATTTGAAATTATTATTTTTTATTATTATTATTTTTAATAATTAAAAAACAAAGTTGGTTTTGAATCACCAACCATGGTAAATTGAATTTCTTTATAATAATCTTTGCTGATTAAAATATCATAACGATATAATCCGGTGGCTATTGTGTTGAAACCAATAATTCCTTTTGAAGGATCCTTAAGATGAAAATCGGTAGTGACATTAAATTGTTTTATCTCATACATAAAGTTTGAGATTCTATATATTTTATCCGTAAATAATACACCTTTTTCATAAAAACTTTTACTTTCTATTTCTTGATAGTGTATAGTGGGGCAACCATAATTAGATTTATAACTACATGTAATTCCTGGACATCTAATATCTTCGTTTTGAAATTTACATCCTAAAAAGGTCATGTTTTTATTTGAATCACATTCTATTTCTATTATAACATCATGGTTTTCTGCGGTTTTACATGTAGACATTTTTAAATCGTTTTTAAATCTTGCAACTAGGCCAACTCCATATCTTAATCTTTCTAAAGCTAGTTCATTAGGTTTTGCAGCTAGCATTATTACATAATTATCTTCTTTAATAAAACATGCAGATGGGTTAAGTTTTTTTGCATTTTCTTCATTATTCATTTTCTCTTTGCAATAGTTATTTCCCTCTTCACCAATGGACCAACTAAAAGACAAATCAAGGGTAAAATTTGAAGTGTATTGAAATTTGCTTTGAAATGGTATATTTAAGATTGGTTTTAAATTATAAAAATTTCCATTTTCTTTATCTGTAAATATTAATTTTTTATTATCATAATTTTCAAAAGAAAATATGGAATAAATTAAAAGTAAAAAAACTAAAAAAATGTTTAACATGGTTTATTAATAAATATATTTAATTTTGAAGTAAAAAAATTTTTTTTTAATTTTCATTTCCCGTAGTAATTTTTATGTTAAAAAAAAAATATAATATACTTAATTTATTTATTTCTTTGGGTGAATAAAGTGGGGAGTTTGTTATTGGAACCCACACAAAAAAAAAATAATAAATTAATAAACAAATTAAACATAAAAAAATAAAAATATTAAATTAATTAAAATTGACATTTTAAAATCTATTTTTATTTTTTTAAATAATTTTATTGAAATTTTTTTTTTTATCTATAGATTTAAAAAGAAAAAGCAATAAATATTTATAAGATATTTATTTTTTTTAATTATAAGATATTTTATACAAGTTTTTTTTTTAAATTATTTTTAATGTTTTTGGTGGCGGTTTTTTTTTTTTTATTTTTGTTTTTTGACGTATTTATAATAATTGCATAAAAATGGTGATATCTTGATAACAAATAATTAAAACTTTTTATCTCTAATATAACAAATAAACATATTTTAATCAAAGTTTTATAATTTGAATCTACTTTGGTTGGGTTTGGTATCAAAAAATATGGTTTATGGGTTACTATTAGGTAATATGTATGTTTCAATAGAAAAATCGATTGTGTATTTTATAATTTAATGTAAATATTATTTATCGTTTTAACTACAAAAGAATCATTTTTATTATTCATAAATATTAATTTAAAAATCATTTATTATAATTGATTTTATTTATTTATAAAAAAAATATAAAACCATTTTTTTTTTTTAAAATTTTTAATTTAAAATTAAAAAATATCCAATGTTAAGCGAACCATTTGATTATACAAGTGATTTAAAATTTTCTTTATTAAACCCAAGTTCTTTTTGGGATCAAGTTTCAAATAAATATAATGTTAAATGGTATTTTATATATTTATTTTAAAATAAATAAATATATATAAAATATTAATTTTTATTTAAAATATTTTAGGGATAAAAAATATGAGAGTGTTTTAAACTTTAATAATTGTACAAAAAAACATGAATGGTTTAATGGTGGATTAATAAATGCATGTTACAATTCAATAGATAAAAATATTTTTGAAAGAGATAAAAAGGATCAAGTAGCATTTGTTCATGAAATACCAATTAAAAAGATCAAATATGAAATTACCTACCAACAAATATATGAAAAAGTTACTTTAGTTTCAAGAGTTTTAAAAAATTTAGGTATAAAGAAAGGTGATTTTGTTATGGTTTATATGCATAATTCATTTGAAACAATAGCTTCAATGTTAGCATGTGCAAGAATTGGCGCCATTCACAATGTTATTTATAGTGGTACATTGGTTGATACACTTTTGGTTAATATAGAAGATTGCAAACCAAAATTAATTTTAACATCAACATTTTGTTTTTTAATGGACGAAACACCATACTACTACTTACCAATATTAAAATCAGCTTTGGATAGATCAAAATATAAACCACTAAATGTAATAATTTTTAATAGAAAAGATATTACCGACATTGTACCTATAGATATAGAAATTGACAATTCTTTAGATTGGGACGAGTTGGTAAATAATAGTAATCCATTATTAGAGTATGAACCAGTAGAAGCTGATCATCCTCTTTATTTAATTTATACAAGTGGTACTACAAATAAACCAAAGGGGATATTAAGAGAAACTGGAGGCCATACCGTTGCATTGAATTATATAACAAGAGTTTATTATGGTTTAGATGATGGGGATACTTTTTTCACCGGTTCAAATATTGGTTGGATATGTTCACACACCTATTTAGTTTATGGATGTTTAATGGTTGGTTGTAAATCAGTATTTTTAGAAGGTCCATATAATAATTTATCAAATGATATGTGGGGTATTATACAAAGAAATAAAGTTAATGCATTTTTAATTACTCCATCTACTGCAAGAAAGTTAAGAAAAATTGACCCCAAAGGTAACTCAACTAAAAACTTTAATTTAACTTCATTAAGTCATATTTCAATTGGATCGGAAAGAGTTGATAAATCTATTCATTGCTATCTGTCAAAGTTATTTAATCAAAAAGTTATAATAGAATATTGGCAAACTGAATCAGGATATCAAATGATCTTTAATCATCACCAAATTAAAATGAAGGATAATTCACTTGGTAAAGCAGTACCTGGATATCAATTAAGAGTTGTATCAATGGATCCAAATAATACATCAGCGGTAAAAGAACTTGAGCCATATGAAATTGGGGAGCTTGTCATTAAATTGCCTGTACCACCATGTTGTGTGAGAAGTTTATTAAACGATGAGGATTCAAAGTTATATAATCATCGTTATATAAAATATGATGGGTATTTTGCTACTGGTGATTTAGTTTATTACGATAATGAGGGATACTATTATTTTGTATCAAGAGTGGATGACTCTATTCATGTCGGCTGTGATATAATAAATTGTAGTATAGTAGAAGGTGAAATATCAAATAATTCAAATATTAACGATTGTGCAGTTATTGGAATAAAAGATGAAGTTTTAACAGAGATTCCTCTAGTTTTATTGGTATTAAAAAATGATGAAATAAATAATGGCCAAATAGAACAAATTAAAAATCAAATTTTAACCTATATTCTAAATATTATCCAAATCGGTGTTAGATTTGAACCAATCATACTCATAGTAAATAGTTTACCAAAAAATAGAAATGGAAAAAGTCTAAAGTCATTAATTAGATCAATTTTCAATGGTGAAAAGCACTCAATTCCATCAAATATAGATAATATCAATATCTATTACAATTTATTAAATGATTATAATAATTTTATTAAAAAAAAAATATAAATAAATTTTAAAATAAATTTTTTTTTTTTTTTTTAGTTTTAAAAGTAGTGGTTTTTATTTTTTTATGAAATAAAATAAGTTTGATCCATTTTAATTGAACTAATTGTATTTTGAATTGAATTCAATAGGCTATATGAAATTGATTTACCGTTTGAATCTAATAATAATAAGTATTTTGGATTTTTTGGTGAATATGAGTAATCTTTAATAACTTCTTGAATTTCTAAATATCTATCATCTCTTTTTAATGACAGTTGTAAATCTAGATAATATAAATATAATTAGTATGCTTTATTTTTTTTTAAATATAAAAAAAAAGTAAACTTACCCCATAATTTAATCATTAATGATAAATTAAATTTTGAATTAAATAAATAGAAATTAATTGTAGATATAACTAAATAGGATGGAACTTTTTTATCATCATATACCTTAAAATGAGTTATATAGAATTCTTTTGAAGATAACAACGAAGGTTTAATTGATACTTTAATTAGTTCTTGCCAAAATGATTTTTCAAACGAAAATGATTTAATGACACCATCAGAACCAATAAATCTTGGTGGTCTTGAACGAGATTTACACGCTGATGGGTCAGAATAAACATTTCTTAATCCTTGTGATGCTGAGTTTATCATATCTATAGCCCCAACAGTTGGTTTAACAAATGTACCTAGTAAACCTTTTCCTAAACCTTTAACTAAACCAGTAAAGCCTTGATCTTGAAATTCTTTGACTGGTTGGTTTACTAAACCTGATAAACCGTGCGCAATACCTTCAGAAAATTTTTCGATGCCATTTGATACTCCATCTAAAACATGTTTTGGTTGTTGACTATGTCTATAGGAATTATCTCTTTGTTGTAGATAGTTTTCATCCATAGAGAATGGAGCAATAGCTGTACCAATTGTATTTGTAAATTTGCTAGCAGAGTTAAAGATACCAAATAAAGAGTTACTGACTAATGATTTTGTACCTTTGTAAACACCTTTTGTAAAGTCTTCAGGATTAGTAAAGCCAGCAGATGATTCGTTAATTAGGTCATTAATACCCCTTGTAATATTTTCAGCCAAGGATAATGGTGCACCTAAAAACCCAGAATATAAGAGTATTTTTGAAACCTTCCATTTATAATGATAAAACAATGATAGGCCCAATCCATTGGCAGTAACAAACTGATGTTCGAGTTTCCAGCTTTCTAAATGTAATGAGGCATTGTCAATATTTGCTAGAGCAGAAAAAGCAGAAGAAGCCCATGGACCAATCATTGGTCTGTTGTGTGGTGATGAGCGATAACTAAGTTTAATATCTACTTGAGGAAGATAAAGGAACTCTATATATAATCTCTTTGAGTTTATAGTGATTGGTAGAGGAATATTGGAATATGGCAATTTAATTTTATCAATAATTAAATTTTGATCATCTTTTTTTTCTTGTTTTGTTAATGGAATTGAAGAATTATTAAAGGAACATTTAACATTATTAATGAATGAAACTAAATGGAAAAGTAATGCTTCGTCAATTTGCACTTCGAAAGGTTGGATATCAAATCTTAATTCTTTAATATATTCAATACCAATTTGATGGAGTTCTTTTGGTTGATACTGACTTGATCTAATAAAATTAACTATTAAACTATGACTGGTTGGTGAGGTGGTATTTGAATTAAAAGATGAAATCATGACTGGATAGGGAGTGTGATATAATTGATTATCTACCTTAAAGGAATGAATTGAAATATTTATATTTTGTTCAGTATTAATTTCTTTAAATCTAACTTGTAAACCTTTTAATGTTATAAATAATAATTCTTTTGGTATTGAATCGATTACAGAAACACTAATTCCACCAATATAAAATTCAAAATTATTTAATTTGATTTTATTTGATAAATTTTTTTGTTCTTGTTGTTGCTGTTGTTGTTTTTGTGTTTGATTATTATAAATTATTTTTTGTTCTTTTTCTTCTTGTTGTTGTTCTTGTTGTTCTTGTTGTTCTTGTTGTTGAGTTTGATTATTATTTGTTAATTTTTCTTTTCTATTTATAGATTTTATATCATTTAAATCAATCATACGTAATATATTTGTTGGTCCATTGGCTAAAATTTCTAATTTAATATTTAAATCTTTAATTTTTGAACTACTAGATTGATATTTAACAGGAAAAGGTTGATGATATTGTAATTTATCTAATGAAACAATCTTTTTATAATTTGTATTTGGAATAGTAATAGATAATCTCTTTGTACCCATTGGATTGGACCATGTATATCTTTTTGAGTGATTTGAATAAACAAAAATTGGTTGATCATTTGTATCAACTTGATGAATGGAAATTGGTAACGAGATTAGATTTTGAATAATATATGGTGGGTAATCTTTAGTTTCTGGATTGATTATAACATAATAAATTCCTTTCTCTTGTAAAATTTGTATCATTGGTAGATAGAAATCTTCGTCATTATCTGCTGTGATATCATCATCATCATCATCATCTTCATTATCACTACTGTTACTGTTACTGCTACTACTTGATAAATCACTATCGCTATCACTTGAGCTACTTGATTGGTCATTATCGTCTTGGGGTTTCTCTAATTGAATATTGAATGAAATTGTTTTATTTATGTTGAATGATCCAGACCATTCAATTTTTTCTGATAACCTAAAAGTTATTTTCTTTGGTAGTTGTTCCTCTAAGAAATGGAATGGTAGAGTTTCTTTTGGTTTAATAAAAAATTTTTTATAAAGACTAGAGTCTTTTTGAGAATAATAGAGATTGTTTGAAATATTGTTAATTAAAATAAACTGAGGTGAAATTGTTATAGTTTTTGTCAAAGATCCAGATTCGATTTGAGTGTATAATAAAAATTGTAAAAAAAGTTTTTCAGAATGTCTATGCTCTTTGACAATAGTTATTGGTTCAAATTTGTTAAGTTGTATAGAAATTGGGGATGACCAGTTTGAATTATCCACTTGAAGCAATAATTGTTGAGTAGTAATTGAATGTGCCGATATTGGTGAAAACATTGAACAAACAACATTATTATTACTATACCAATTTCTTGGATCTGTATAAATACTTATAGTTTCTAAATTTTTTTCATTTTTTTCATTATTATCTGAAATAATTGGTGTCTTTGAAAATGATGTTTTTGTAGTTGTTGTTGATGTTGTAGTCGTTGATAGTTTATTATTACCAACAACATTAATATTATTTAATTTATATTGTATTGATAAACCAGTATTGTTTATAATTGAAAATGAAGAGTAAAGAGAAACTTGAATAGATCCAAAAAATTCATTTTGATGTACATTTAAATAGAATGGTTTACCATTTGAAGTTGAAAGGATTTTTCTTGGTTGTCTATTGATATTATTTGGTGAAGATTGATTAATTTGAATATATTCACTCCATCCATATCCTTCCATATGAACCTTTATCATTATAACCTTTTCAATATTGGCACAATAAATATCTTTTCTTTTACCACTTTCAATTTTTTCTTTACCAACAATATTGTTTGATTCTTGATCATAAAATGAAACATCAATTGGTACAATAAAATAATTTATTATAACCAATGGTGCAACAATTTTAATAATATGATTTGATCTTCTTTCCTCAAATGAATTTTCAACTTTATATTCATAATATTGTCTTTTATTAATATGATGATATTGTTGATGTTGATTTTGTTGTTGTTGTTGTTGTTGTTGTTGTTGTTGTTGTTGTTGTTGTTGTTGTTGTTGTTGTTGTTGAGAGGAGTTTGTTGGTTCTTCAAATTGATAATTTGAAAGATGTTGATCAATTTTTAAAAAGTAAAATTTATTTGGGGGACAATCAAATAATAAGGTACCTGGATGTAAAAAGCTATCTGAGCAATCTAGAGGTGAGGTCCATCTCTGTTGATGATTTTGATGACTATCTAGTAATGGTCTAAAACTTAAAATCATTGATGGTGATGATTGATCCTTGCATAGAGACATTGGTTTTGATTGATTTGGTTCCAAAATATAGGGTGAACTTTTGAATGTATGAGATGGTCTATCTAAAAATTCAATAGCGTGATCAGTGTCATTTACGATTAAAACATTTGATCTAACGATGAGAATTTTACTTGATTTGGATACTTTTATTTCAAATACTAATTGTTGGTATTGCTTTTCTGGTGTAATTAATTCATAATTTGAAGTGGTTGATGAAATGTTGGTATTGCTATGATTATTATGATTTTGCTTTGGTATAAGATTACAAATATAAATACCAGTTTTATGAATTGGTAAATTTGTAATTGTTTCAAAACCTTTGACTGTAATATTAACTCTAAATAATGAAATTGAAGTTGTATCACGGTGTTTTTGAGTATTATTAATTGTTTTAAATCTATCTTTTTCATTTTTACTTGATAAACTAATATCTCTAAGGTCTAAATAAACTTCATTGCCATTTTCTAAAATTAAATTATTTAAAACTTTAAAATTATTTTTTTCATTATTATTATTATTATTATTATTATTATTATTTTTATTTTTATAAAGTTCATTTGATAATTTAATTACTGAATATTGAATTTCTAAACCAGTATGGTTTTTTAAAAGGAAAGGATGATAATTTTGAGATTTATAGTGTTGTGATAAATTATTATTATATCCCAAAATAACTGTAGAATCTAAATTTTCCTGATTAGAATTTGTTAAAGCTGATATAAAAACTGGATATGATGAAATAATTGTATCAAATAATGATTTTGTAATATTTAAATTTAAATTTTGATTTGTTGTTAAAACTATATTACCAATTTCACTAACTGGTGTGTTTGATGTTTCTATAGCAAGTTTACAACCCCATTCTTCAATAACTGGTTCCCAAACTGATTTTGAAATATTAAAATAGTTTGATGACAAAAATAAACCAACCATAATACGATTTTGTGACACTTCAACTGAAATATTATTGAATTTAAAATTTAATACTCCAAAATATTTGTTATCATCATCATTAATAATTGTTAATTCAATTGAAGGAGATTGAAAATTAATTCTTAAAATTTCTTTTTTTTCTTTGTTATTATTATTATTATTGTTATTATTTTGTTGTTGATTATTTTTATTATTAATTTGTTGATTATTCAATAATCTATTTAAATTATTAATTAAAATATTTAAATGATTTGAAATTGATAAAAATAATAAAAAGTCTTGATAAGATATTGATAAGTGAATTGGATTAACACCAATTAAAATATCAATTGGTAAATATTCTTTTCCCTCTACTAATGAAATTGAAGCTGTGATTGTAAATGGATCAATAATTGATTCTGCAGTTTGTTCAAAATTATTTGCTCTACATTTATATAGTTCTAAATTTTCAACAGATATTTGGAAATCTTTATATGTTAATGGTTCACATACTTGAATATTTATTTTTCCTAAAACAGAACCTTTGAGTGTTAATAATCTACTTTCATGAGATGCTGGATTATCAACAAGCGATAGTTCGACATTTGTAGTTTCAATATGAACCAATGTAGTTTGTCCCATTGACCTCTTATTCTTTTGTTCAAGAATATTTTTAACAGGAATTGACTTTGTTGGATCTTGGTTGAACAGTGGATTATTGTTAATAGCATCAGAGTCTAAAACTGGTGAAGATATTGGTGAAATTTCTGATAGAGATGATAAAGCTTTGATACCAGGCATGATGAAATCAATCATTGAAACCAATGATTCTGGAACTATTATACCTCTGAAACTATCTAATAAAACTTTGACCTCTGTATCACCATTTCTTTTGTCACAAACATAAACCTGAAGTTCTTTTTTGGTGCCAGAATTATCATTTTTATTTGGTGAGTTTTGATGGTGAATGAGTTTACGGAAGTGATTAACAATTGATTTTCTAGTATCAGTCAAGTCAATGGATCCAACTGAAAAGTTTGAATATTCATTACCATTTTCATATTCGATAATTGAACATGCAAATTCTATAACTTCTAATGATACTACAGACTCTTTATTCTTTCTAAAGAACTCTAATGAAACATGAGGTAAATGAAATGAAATTTGGTCCTTGATATCAGTTGTTGAGCCATTATTAGATAGGGGTGCAGAGAGTGGTGTATTTACTGGTAATGGTGTTGGAATTGGTAAAGATGAAATTAAATTACTATGATTCATATCAATACCATGAGTTTGATTCGATTGTGCAACATTGATAAAACTTTGATAAAGATTATCTAATTTAATTTGACTTTCCATACGTCTGTGGTTTCTCTTCTTTCTTTTCTTTTGTTTAATATTTGGCTCTATTAAAGATTTAATGATTGCAATAATTAATGTATATTGTTGATCTGAAATTTTTAAATGAATTGGTGATATTTCCCCATCAACTTTTTGTTTAGATTCGCTTTGTTCTGAAACTTTAATGAATGATTCAATATTTACGTGGATATTGATTTTATTTGAGATGGCCTCAATTGTACTATCCAAAACTTTGCCATTCAAAAATTTGCAGGAATGAAAGTTTATCGAAGATGCATAAATGAAAATTTGTTCTGATGGTGATAAGGCATTGATATTATACTGATTGAAAATTGAAATATGACCTAAATCTGCTATAATTACATAGGGAGATATATGATTCTTTGGGAAAATAATTCGTGGAGTATCAACATCGATTTCAAAAAGAATTCTCTTTTGTTGGGCTATACGTCTATTTGACATAATTTCCACAGCACCTTTTGCACTTTCAGTTATTATATGATCAATTTGACTTGTTATAATTTCATCAAAATAATCTATTATTTTTTCTATAAGTGAAACTATAACAATTAATTTAACTGAAGTCATTCTAACACTTATTTTTGAATTAAAGTTAATAACTTCACCATTTTTATCGTACTGAAAATCATTTTCTTCCTCTTCCTTTCCTTTTTCTTCATTATCACTTTCTTTTTCTTCATTATCATTTTCTTTTTCTTCATTATTTTCTTTGAATTGGGGTAGTTTTATATTCTTATATGTTAAAACATAAAACTCTATAATATGTTCACCATCGGTACCAAACAATGGGTTTAAATCTTTTGATGCATCCTTTGAAATATCTGATATTTCTAAATTTCCCAATTTAAATCGCATCATTGATGATTCTAGATCAATGTCAAAATAGATGGATAGGTCACTAACTTGGAACATAAAATAAGACTGGTCATCCTCATTTAAATTTACAATTAATGATTTCATTTTTATAGTAATATTGACCATTGGGTTATCTTCTTCCTTCTTTTTCCTCTTTGAATTGGTTTTAAATTTTTGTTTTGATTGTTGATTATTTTGTTCTTTTTGTTCTATATTTTCTTTTTTAAATTCTTGCTCTTCATTATGTTGTTGTTGTTCCTGTTCTTGTTCTTGTTGGTGTTCGATTATAATATCATTTTCATGATCATGTTGTTGTTTTTTCAGATTTCTCTTTTCTCTTCTTTGGATTACAGTATCGATGATAGTTTTTTCAACCAACTCTATCATATTAATGATTTTGATTACCAATTTTTTGTTAAGATTTACAAAGAGTGTATTAAAAAATACATCAATTTTTTGGGATACGCCAATGTATTGTGGTGAATTTCTTTGAACTGACAAAATACTAATATTAATAAGATGTTCCTCCTCGGCAATTTCACTACAACTGAGATCTTGGTCTTGATGTGGTATATATTCGTTTAGAGATTTGGCTAGGTATCTAAAGTTTTCATTTTTAAAATCTTGATAGAGATCTTCTATATATAATTTCTTTAAAGACAAATGGACTGTTGTATCAAAAGTACGTTTTAAAACTTGAGCACTAATATCTGATAAAATTAATTTGACAAATGGCTTATTATGTAGGTCCTCTCTGACTTCTAAAGAGACTGTTGGAATTGAAAATGTAACTTCAAAAATTGTGTGAAAAATCATTAAAATTGGTAACTGATCTTGAGGATTCTCCAATTCCATTGAATCTATTAATGTTGAACTATTTATAATATTTGAATTTTCATCAGTGCCCTCTAATAGGGTTGCAGTATTTGAAACTGAGGATGTTGAATTTGATCGGTTATCAATATCAATAATTAAATCTTCATTTTCTTCATTTTTATTAATATTATTTTGATCATTAATTTGTTGATTATCCATTAAATTTTCTGATGAAATTAAATGATTTGAAATTTCAGGTGGATCATTTTGTAAAGTTCCAATAATTCTAATCATTATTTCTATTGATTTTTGTGATAATAAAATATTTAAAGATGGTAAATCACCAAATAATCTAATGATTTTTTAAAAAAAAAAAAAAAAAAAAAAAAAAAAATTAATATTTAAATATATATACTTTTATTATTTTTTTATAAAATATTTTATATTTACTTTAATTTTGATAATAAAGTTTGAGATTTTATTATACACTTGAATATTTTAAAATTAATATCAAATTTTTCGACCAATTGAATTAATTCCCCCCCTGAAACTAAATAAAATTGAATATTTCCCAATTTAAGTTCAAATAAATCATATAAATATTTTGTAACATTTTCATCATCATAAACATTACCATCACTACTACCATGACTATTTTTAATTGGTTGTGATTGACTGAAAGATGGTGATGATGCTGAAGATTCTTGATAATTATTATTATTATTATTATTATTATTATTATTATTATTATTATTATCATTATAATCTATATTATTTTCATTATTTATATTACTATTATATAATGATAAATCGTTTCTTAAGATTGAAGAGGCTTCAATTTCTTCTGGCATTGTATCTGAAGTTTTATGAGTAATTACTCTTTGAAGAGAGAATGAACCTAAATCCAATACTAAAATTGGTGATGATGGATTTGTAAAATTTTCGGGTATTAAAACATGAGGAGCATTAATATTGATATCTAAATCTACAGATTTATGATTTTGTAGTTCATACTGAATTCTAAGAGTTGTTTTATCTTTAAAAATTTTAATTTGATTTCGAGCTGCTTCTTCAATATCCTTTAAAGTATCTGAAGGAGCATTACCAAAAAACTCTAAAATTGAATCCATCATTGATTTATTATATATAATTTCTAATGGTAATGCTTCGATAAATACCGAAAAATCTGATTCGGAAGTTAATGGATTCTGTTGTAATGTCATTGAAAACAATGGTTGCTTTGTGGCCTCTTCGTCTGATGATAATTCCCCACTTTCGTTATTTTCATTATTATCTTTGTAACAACTGTTATCACTATTATTATTTCCACTGTTATTTTTAATTTTATTATTTTTTAATATTGGGGATGAATTAATTGATAAATAATTTTTATTATTATTATTATTAATATTATTTGAATAACTATTTAAAATTGGTTTCATTAAAATTGGGAATTGTGTATTATCTGTAAAATAATCTCTAACAAATATAGTTTCCAATATAGTTTGAACATATAATGATTCTACAAATTTATCTAAACTAATTGACATATTAACCAATTCTATAACCAAATCTGCGGATTTTGGTTTTGATTTACTACTATCAGGAAAATGAGTTATTGGTGAAGTTGGTGGTTTAAGTCTAAATGCAACTGAACCTCGGTTCATTGTAAAGTTGATTCTTGTTTTGACATAATCTTTTGGATATACTATATTTTTTGAAACTTGATGCTCATCATATTCGATAGTTGAATAAAGTTCCCTCTTTTGTTGTTCAGTTAAGTCCAAAGTACTTAAAATAGACTCTTGATCAGTTGTGCCCTCTTCATTTTTCTTACTACCACCCCATAACCATCTAAACCAACCACCATTACTATTATTTCCATTACTATTATTACCTATATTTACATTTTTGGAACTAGGGTTTATTTTATTATTACTATTACTTGAACTATCAATAATTTCTATTTTTTTTGTTGTTTCACTATTATTATTATTATCATTATTATTATTATTATTATTATTAATATTATTATTACTATTATTATCATCATTTTTATTTTCTAATTGGTTATTATATACACTTGTTGATTTTGGTGATAATAATAATGGAGTATTTGGATTTGATCTTACTGAATCCTCAGCTTTAATTTGGGCATCAGCAAGAGATCTAAAATAAACCAAATCTTCAAAGCTATAATCTCTTTCTAATTGATCAATTCTAATATTATTTGAATCAGTAATATTCTTTTTTCTCTTTTTTAATTTATACAGATGAATATAATCTAGTCTATCCTTTCTTCTCTTTTCAAAATACTTTGGTGACCACTTAAGTAACTTTTCTCTAACTTCATTTCTTATACATTCTAACGCGAATGACCAACGATCTTTTGCAGTTTTTAAAATACCACCACATTCCTTGGGCTTAAACTTTCTATATTTTTCACCCCTCTTCAACATTGAAAACCATTCTACCAATGCCAAAATGCCAGAATATTGCCTTGATTCAATTTCTAAATTAATTTCATCAAATTCAAAATTTGCTGTATACAGTGGAATAAATTTATTTGGTATTAATGATTTATTAATTAATAACTAAAATAAAAATAATAATAATTAGTAACTATTAAAAGAATAAACTATGGTAATAATATTTACCTTTAAAGAACCACAAACTGGGTGTAATAAATAATTATGGTTTGGATTTTTTGATTGATCAATTGATTTTTTGGGTATTAACTGAGTCATTATAGTTTTAAAATCACTTATATTTTTATAATTTAAATTTGGATCGCTTGAATGGGGATCCCAATAAACTGAAAGGTTTTGTAAATTGATTAGTTTGTGAACCAATGACTGTGAAATATGAATAAAAGTTGGTTTCCATTCTTCATTTGAGGACTGGGCTAAAAGGTGTTCCAAAGTAATACCAAAACAATAAGGAGATAATGGATTTGTAATTGAATCTTCAAAACGGACATGGACATTATAAATCATTATTTGTAAATTATCTACAATTTTATTTCTTAATTTATCGGCAAATGATGAACTTGATTGATTTTCATTTTCATCAAATGAATCTTTTAAAACACCTTTATAAATTTCATCTTGAATTAATTGTTCATCATATTCCTCTTCTTCTTCTTCTTCTTCTTCGTCATATTCTTCATAATCTTCGTCATCATCATCATCATAATCTTCATCATCTTCTTCTTCATCTAAATTTGTTTCATCAGTATTTGAACCACCTTCACTTTCTTCCCTATTAATTGAATAAGTTGAACCATCTTCCAAAGTTGTTGGTGATGAATGACTATCATTATTTTCATTATTATCTTTATCGTTTACTGTATTATTTTCGTTTATACTATTATCTTCATTATTTTGATTGTCATCTTTAAAAATATTAATATCATTATTATTATTATTATTATTATTATTATTATTATTATTATTATCATCATTATTTTTTAAATTTCTATTTTTGATTAATTGCCTTTGTTGTTGCTTTTTTTTTTCAAATTTCTGTTGTTGTTTTTGTTGTCTTTTTTCTTTCAACAATTTTTTTCTTTTTTCCCTCTTTTCCTTTTGCTCCAATATCTTTTTTCTTTTCTCTTCTTTTAATGCTTCATAAATTTTTAACTTTTTTATTTTTTTTTGAAATAATAACTCTTCATCTTCTTTATCCCACTAAAAAATAATTAAAATTAGTAAAATTAGTAATTTTTACTGATGTAATTAAGAAATTTAATAATTAAATGAATGAGTGAATGAATTATACTTACAGAAGTTGCAGATTTCGGTGACGCTGTAATATATAAATTATCAATAATAACTATAACAGGTTCGGTTTTAAGATTATTCCACGGAATCTTTAATGATAATTTCCCTAAGAAACCCTCTTTAATAGTAAATGGTAAATTAAATTTCTCTAGCGCTCTTTTTTTTAATTGTAAATTTTCTAAAGAAACATTTCCTTTTAATATACTAATGTTTAAATTTTCGGTATTTAAAGATTGAATGTATTCTCCTAAATATCTTTGAAGTAAATTTGAAACTAATGTTTCAAACATTTTTGTTTTAATATTTATAAATAAATATTTAATTATTTATTTGAGAAAATTCAAGACGAATAATTTTGAAAACATATTATCAATTACACCAAACTCTCCCAATACATCAATCAATAAATAGATATATAAATCAAAGTAGAAACATATGTGAATGCTACTCGATTCGACTGACACTAAGGATGTTAAAT